TTTCAACTTCATGTGGGACAGTTCCAATCAAAACACAGTTCAAAAAATTCTACAAGAAGCAGCAAATAAGCTACAAGAATGGTCTATGAAAAGTGGATTCATTTTTTGCCCCAAAAAACAAACTGTATTCTATTCACAAAAAAAAAAGAAAAACAACTCCGCTAAAAATTCTACTTAATAATAAAGAATTACCACAAGTAAAATCAGTCAAAATACTAGGTATCGAACTTCACTAAAAAATGACTAAAAAAAAATACCTCATGATAAAATTAATACCTTCTCAGCTTCGCTTCGAAACTAATGAAGTTGATAGTCCTTTAAGTTATAAGGGATGATTCTAAAAAGTCATTATTAGCTGATAAGTCAAAAAATATATATGACTATATGAAATCAAAATTTTTTTTCTAATAATGTATTTATTTTGTGAGTAATCAAGTGGTTTATGAAAAACCGATCACTCTCTCTCTATATATATTTATATATTATTGAAATGGTATTTATTTTATTTTACAAATTAAAAATTAANAAATGGTATTTAATTTTATTTTACAAATTAAAAATTAATTTTTTGATTACAATTCGTTTCTGTATTAAATAACAATTTAAAAATTTATATAAATACCAATATATACAAAAATAAACATATTTCTTTTTATGTACTATTTAGTATTTGGACGATTAGTCGTAGTTATATTTCTAACCTTAATTTCAGTTGTACTGGTGATTCAGTTTTCATTGATGTAGGAGTTCAAATATAGTTGATATTCGTGTGTATTTATTCGTTGTTCTCTCAAACATAGTTTGTTGATATTTCCATTTTAATTCATCATAAAAAATCGTATTGTTACTTGTTAGTTTTTTATTTTAGAGAGAGAACGAAAAACAAAAGTGTTCATTTTTATTTAATACATAGATATCATAACCAACCAACTATTTTATCTTCTTATCACTTTGTTAGGTATGACAACATTTTTCCAGCGCCGCCACCACATAATGCGAATGTAAAAGTCCCACACGACGTTGCCGCATATTATACAATAATACGAGTAATAATACAATAATAGTACATTTACAATATTTCATCTAAACTGTACCATTACAATATATTTTTTTTGCGTGTAAAAGCTAATATAATAATATTAGCAATTGATCTATTAATCTATAGCAATTGAGTATAGTTGCATAATTATAAATACATAATTTTTGTAAATTAGTAAAGATAATTGCTCTATGATAATGTTGACAGAGAGGATATAGCTTATTTTGAGAAAAAAAACTTTTAACAATTTAACATAAGGCCATAATATTACTTAAATTGTTAGGTTAGATATTTTGAGTATTACATTGTATATAGGAGTAAAAGTTAATATGAATAATAAGACAAATTTGATATTTAAAATCAATATATTATATTATGAAGATGTTATATTGGTATATTTACTAATATGATTTTAATTTTCCTATAATTATATTATGATAAAAATATTCCAGTCCTCTTCAGGTATTGAAGGATACCAAGACGTAATGTATTCAAATTCTTCAGGAAAAAAAGTATCTTTGCGAAAATGTATGCATTCTATAAAATTTGTGCAGGAATTAAATGATATAAATTCATTAGACGTAGTCTTATTATAACTCCACGCTTTATTGTTTAAAGAATTTAAGCTGTTTTGATATGCAAATTCCCACGGTTCATTAGAAACAGTTCTCTTTCTTTATGTTATCAAATTATATACATTTAAAGAGCATTAATCTGCAAAATCTACATTGACCTTTTATAAGTATTAAAAAAATTAAGTCATTTCAATATTTTCTTTGAATGGGAAATTTGTAATGTTTGAAAGATTGTTTTGCTATACATTCCCTATTAAGTTTTCTCTTTTATTCTAACTTTCCATCATCAGATGGCATGTTAGGTCTAAATATATCATTATACCATTCCTCGTGTTAAATGCCACATTGGATGCTAAATTTTTAGCTATGTCATCAGCTTAAAACAATATAGGTTTTGATTATAATGAATAAAACATAAATAAGAATTAGTTGCCATTTAATTTAACACTTTATTTGTCAAACAACTACCAAACATTGTGTAATTATCACTTTTCTACCTAAAAAAAACTTTTTTCAGAAACCAAAACGAAACAAAAGATTGTACAGAAAAGATCGTTGTTTAAAATTCAAAAAGCCTTATCTGAAAAATTTTACATACATAGTAATTATAAAAAAATATTAAATAGGAGAGATAGTTGATAGAATTGTTATGAAAATAAAATATTAAAATATCTATAAAGAATGCATTTACACTTTAACTATATTTCCTAAAACACTCATTAACACAATATTATATTTATTCAGTTTTTCTTTCCATACACGTTCACTAACGTTACTTTAGTGATAATCAAGTCATCTTCCTAATAATAAATAAATTGTGGAAGCTATGGAATTATCAAAAACTATTAAATAACTGTTGGAATTGAGTAACTATTATTTTCATACCTAGGCTGGAGGAGACGTACAACCAAGAAATGTTAAATGATAAATATTTTTATACTAGCGCTTTATAACCAGTTTATATTTTTGTCATATAGAATTCCCTTGTGTAATAGATAAGATTTTCAAAAAAAAAAAATATATATATATAAGAAATATATAAGTACTTTTATAAAAAAAAAATAATTTTGATTCATCTATTTTTCAAAAAGTTGTGCTGTTCTAAGTAAAAAAGTTTTAGCAAAATGTTGAAATTTTAAATAAAACAAAATATATTTATGAAAAATAATGCATAAAAAAAAATGACAAAGAAAATTTTTATTTTATTTTATAATTTTTAAGATATTGAAGAAGCGTATATAAGGATAATAAACATAATTTTGAAACATTGTATATAATATCTTCTAAGTTTTCGTTGATTTTCTCTTTATAACATCTGATCGATGCTTATATAATTCATCTATATAACTTATGAAATATCTTACAACTTCATAGTCAGTCTTTTTTGAATTTACTTTGATATTCCTCAAAAACATATCTGCATTATTTAAACTGTAATGTTCAACAGTTGCAACATCTGTTGGATCATGAGGTGGTTTTTTAATCTTAGGCAATTCTTCTCCAAACAAAAACATTGGTTCAGTAGCAAAGCAATCAGCAGTTAAACAAAGTTCAGTTAAAATTTGATGTAAGTCTGATATTAATCTTGTAAAGAAGTTTTTATTGTAGTTTAGAAAATTGTTCATGTCGTTTAAACCATTCTTATATTTCAAAATAACGTCGATGTAACTATTAATATGAAATATAATTCTGATGATGTCATCATCATTTTTTACACATGTCAATTGTGAAAATTCATGTAATTTAGATATCCACTGTTTTGCGAGTGTTTGTATAAATTCAAACTTTTGACATTGCAAATACAAAAAATGTTTCCAAGTCAGTCTTAACATAATAATTTTTAAAGTATTGAAAAACACCTTGTAATAAACTTTAATGGATTGTAGTTTATCGGATGACCAATTTAATACATGCGCTTCAATAAACGCTGTTTCTATATTTTTTTCTTTGTTCCACGTCACATAAACGTAGTAATCATTTTTGAAATGTCTCATCGGAACTAATAATGGTCCTAAGGATCTTATAAAAATACTTGGTTTTGAGAATCGATTGTAGTTTATCACCAATTGATTTTGATTTATAGTTATGAAGTTTTTCATATTTTCATAATTTTTCAATAATAAACTATCTAAAAAATGTTTATCTTCATTTGAGTATTCTTTAAAATTATCGCCGGCTGTATAAATAATATTATACTTATTACAATTTTTATTATCATCCTCCATTTTTGCAATTATGAATTCATGAGTTTTTACAATATCCACAAACTCTTTATCATTTCTATTAAGTATTCGTCTAACTTTAGGTGAACTTAAATACCATGTTATAGAATGTGAGTAAATATTTATTAACCACAAGGTACCAATATTATTTTTATCGATATCATATATTGTACTAATTTGTTTTTTTACATTTTCGTTGTACATACTTATGTTGGAAATCACAGTAGACAGCATGTAATCATCACGCGTTAGCATAATTTTTGTTATTTTCATGTGAGTCAAAGCACCAAACAAATAAAAACATTTTAAATGTTTTGGATTATATGATAATTTCCAATATTCTATAGCGGTTGTTTTAATACAACTGAATACTAAAATTATAACTACATATAACCATAATTTAATTATTGCTAAAAATTTAAAAGACAACATTTTTACAATGTGATTACGTTCAAATATTCAAACATTTTTATATCAAGTTTTTAACTTAAATAATAGGTACGCCCAAAATATCTAAATGTAATTTTTATAAATTAATATTTAAATAAATTTTCACGAATAAAAATTATTTACTAAAATACGTGGGAGTATAAACTGTTGTAATGTTTACAAAACCATATATTTTTGTGTTTGTTAATCTACAAAATTAGTTTGTTTAATTTACTTATATATAAATAATACATTTTATGTCTTTGCTTATTATTTTTTTTACTAGGCTTCACCTAGCTGAGCCACTGATTACGATAGGAGTACTCGGCTATGCTAGACGCGATATGAGTTTAGTAAAAAAAGTATAACTCCAAAAGCATTTTACCAGCAAAATAATTCCAACTGTAAATTAAATGATAATTAAAAAAATAATATGACAACAAGATATTTACGTGTATTCACAATTATGCTTAAAAATAACCTATTAATTAGAACCTACTAATTACTATTCCGAACAACAAGTAGGCGAAAGACAACTTAATAATTATTAAAAACAATCCACAGGTGTTTAGTAAGTTAGGAAACAAGTCAATTGTTACAAACAATGAACACAATAGATACCCGTTTACTTATTTACTGAAGACTTCCTATATAAATAATCTGTTGTTAGTGAAAACTCCATGAACTAACATAAAATTTAAACTAAATTATCATGCGCATAGGAAAATCATATTTTACAAATCACTATTCAGATAAACTTAAAAAAAAATATCTTAGATTTCAATATAAAAAAAATTATTTTGATTCGTTCATGTTTCAATAAGTTATTGCAATTTTTAGAAAAAAAGTGAAAAAAATGTCGAAATTTACCGATTTTAAAAATCGTAATTTTTTTAGGGATTTTCACCATTTACGGGAAACGAGGGAAAAAATTTAAACAACTCCTTCGTTCGTCTATTACCCTTCCAGCAGTACTAAATTCACTACTTGCATTACTAGCCGGAATAGCTAATATTCGTCGTGCTAATTTTGATAGGCAAGGGAATTCAATTTTTTTATTTCTCCAAAATTGTAATAAATTGTCTTCGTAGGTGTCGAATAATTTATTTTTGTATTCTTCCAACTGCTTTTTATATTTAAAGTAACTTTCCGAAATTTCTCATTCCAAAAAAAGTGTATTTTTTTTATTATTTGACCTATTTAGATTTTCTTGTTGCGAACCACTATAAATTTCATTAGTTTCCTCTAATTGAATTTTATATAACTTCATATCAATTTCGTCGAAAATTCTTAATTTATCAATTTCAGAAAACATTTTTAACGATTTGAATTTCACCGATATAAATACAGCTATTTCATGTTCAAAGTCCGACTGGAATGTGGAGTACATGATATCTAATTCTTTCTTACCTAATAATTTTAGTATAATCGAAATGTTGACATCGTAATTAATATGATTTCATTCTTGCAGTTCTGTAAATTTAATTAAATATTTGTTTAATACAAAATAACTTTGTAAATAGTAGGGCCTTTATCAGATTCAAGTTCATTAGATGCTGCTTTAAGTGGCTCTAAAAATTCAACGAGTTTTTTAGTAACTCTCCGTTAATATTTTTTACACGACTAAATGTTTGTCCATGAATTTATATAATTTCTGGAAGTGCACGTTATACAGATTGCAACATTAATAATCGTTTGTTCCATCTACTCTCTACTTCTTGTACAAGTCCATTGCTAAGTTCACAATTCCTTCTACTGCTTTTCATATACCTTTCTAAATGTTTACATTCATTCATTAATGTTGTAACAGATTCCAGAGGTTTTTTACCGTTTTCATCTTCATTATTCAAAAATTTATAATAGAAT